GTCGCGGAAGGATCAACGTGTGGCGTGCACGTTTAATGTAGCCTTTGAGACCTTCATAGACCACCGCCCATGACCCTATTTTTGAAAATAAAAATAACGATACATGGGTGGATTTGAAAATTGTGTCAAATCCGGAGAGCGCTTTTTGGGGGGTAAATTTCAGCAGTCACGGGGATGACGCAGAAGGTGAGTGACGTCACGGGGATGAAAACTCGCCAAGGGGCGTCACAGGGATGGCCACCGCGCCTAAGTCCGTCACGGGGATGACCATCGCTCTCCTGAGGGTCACGGGGATGACACCGCGCCCGAATCCGTCACGGGGATGATCACCGCTCTTCAGAGCAGGGTCACGGGGATGACACCGCGCACAGGACCGTCACGAGGATGACCAATGATCACCGCGCCATAAAGTCCGTCACGGGGATGACCATCGGTCTCCTCCTGAGGGTCACGGGGATGACCATCGGTCTCCTCCTGAGGGTCACGGGGAGGACACCGCACAGGACTGTCACGGGGATGACCCCCGTTATTTGGAGGGTCACGGGGATGACACCGCGCCCAAGGCCGTCACGGGGATGACTACCGCTTTATGGACGGTCACGGGGATGACACCGCGTACAGGACCGTCACGGGGATGACAATAAGTCAACGACCGTCACGGGGATGACAACGCGCCCAGGTCCAACATGCTCTGCGTCTTTGCTCCTTTATCTCTTCGTATGGGCAAGAAATTGTCGTTTCTCTCACACCATAAGTTAACTTTGGACAAGTTCTTTCGAACGAGCTTTTCTTGCGCTTTCCCTTGATTTCTCCTAAAGCAATACGATATTTGGCATTTTGACTGCACATTTGTCTTCCTCTCGAAAAAACCTTTCAAACGAGTATAAGGTTGATGGGGTTCCGATGCATTCTGCGCTAACTAGCCTCCTAGCCTTCAAAACCCCATCAACCTTATACTCGTTTGAAAGGTTTTTTCGAGAGGAAGACAAATGTGCAGTCAAAATGCCAAACATCGTATTGCTTTAGGAGAAATCAAGGAAAAACGCAAGACAAGCTCGTTCAAAAGAACTTGTCCAAAGTTAACTCATGGTGTGATAGAAACGACAATTTCTTGCCCATACGAAGAGATAAAGGAGCAAAGACGCAGAGCATGTTGGACCTGGGCGCGTTGTCATCCCCGTGACGGTCATGTACGCGGTGTCATCCCCGTGACCGTCCAAAGAGCGGTAGTCATCCCCGCGACGGCCTTGGGCGCTGTGTCATCCTCGTGACGGTCCTGTGCGCGGTGGTCATCCCCGTGACGGTCCCGGGCCTGAGCGCGGTGTCATCCCCGTGACCCTCCCATTAGCAGTAATCATCCCCGTGACGCTCCTGTGCGCGGTGTCATCCCCGTGACTCTCGAAGAGTAGTGGTCATCCCCGTGACCGTGTTGGGCGTGGTGTCATCCCCGTGACGGTCTAGAGTGCAGTGTCATCCCCGTGACGGTCATGGACGCTGTGTCATCCCCGTGACACTCCGAGGAGCGATGGTCATTCCCTGTGGTCATTCCTAGTGGTCATTCCCTGTGGTCATTCCCTTTGCGTCATCCCCGTGACTCCCTGAGGAGTGTAGCTATTGGAGCCCCCCCCCCCCTCG